AATTTGTTCAACTTATTGCTGGACAATGCTGTTAATAAATTAGGTAACCTCAATATGTATTTAGTTTCTTCTTTTTGATTCATATGTCATTCTTTTTTTAGAACCATCATTACATACACGTAAACAACGACAATGGCATAATAAGCAAAAAGATAAACTCTATTGTACTCAATTATCTTTGCCTCGTTTATTGACTGAACAAATTGTAAATGACTTATTTTAACTGAGCTGTTTTAAAGTAAAAATTTTTCACTGTTCGTTTTTATTTTCTAGAAAGAATCAAATCAATATTTATTCAAAATTAATGAAAATTTTGACGATGATGTTGCTGTAACTGATCCAGTTTTTAATGATAATATACTTTTTCATGATATACTTATGGATGATACAAATGCTGATGACGCAGCTGCTGGTGGTAGATCAGATGATAATACACATGCTGATCGTACATTTGATGATAATTATATACTCAATGATGAGTATTATAATTATGAATTCATACGAAATTGGGTATATTTTGTTGCGTTTTTTTTTGTATATTTTACGTAAAGTTTGTAATAAAATAGTAAGAAAAAGGTAGTAATAATAACCTATAAAAAGCTTTATTAATATGACAAGGATCAGGCAAGACGCTATAGATATAAGAATCCGACAAGAATCCAAAGAAAAAAGAATCAGGCAAGAATTCAAGGAAAACAAGAATCAGACAAGAAGGCAAGGAAAACAAGAATCAGGCAAGGACGCAAGATTCTTGCCTGGCGAGGTATTTCTTGCCTCGCCAGCCAAGATTCGGTCTACATGAATCTTGTCAGAAAGGCAAGGTCAGTTTTTTCAGGCAAGAATCTTGTATAGAAGGAATAGAAAAAGAATCTTGTCTGAATATCACGAAAAACAAGAATCTGGAAAGAATGAGACAAGATCGTCGATTAGTGTTAGTGCTATCTATCTTGCTTCTTTTTCTCAGAGAGTTTGGATTTTAATAGAAAGTCTTTAATGAACTACATCGAATTATTCTTTTTTCGGTGTTTGATCTAATATTTTTCTGCGAATTTTGATATATAAGGGCAAATATGTTGATCTATTACTTTTCATACAGATCAAACAAATGATCTTCTAATATCTGAAAGAGATAAAATTTGTCGTTTTCTTCGAAATTCCACAAAAAACACATCAAATTATGTTATATTTATTGAAGATTAATATGATGCTACTTTTACTTGTATTACTATTAATCATATCTTTAGAATACTTTTTTTTTTATTAATTCTGAACATGATGCTATAAAAAATTCTGATGAATGTATTGTTACTGTTGAATCAGCTCATATAAATGGTAAAAATTGTACAATATTAATTGATGCAGATGTAATGTACCCAATTGATTTGTCTATTGATTTTTATCAAAATTCTCATTTTCATTAGATATGTTTTGCAAGTCATTTGTATTGGATTAATCATGAAAATTGTTTATTATATACCATTGTAAAATTTGAACTTGAAACATCTATACTTATCATTTGTTAAGAGAATCTTCAATCAGGCTCAGATAAACAAAAAAATTAGTAGAAAAGTAAAAGAAAAAATTTAAACATATAATGAAAGTACGTGTCTGAAAATTCAAAAGAAAAATCAAACAATGTGAATACTATTTTTCTTTAATATAATATTGTTAAACATGAAAATGTTTTATAATATTATTATCTATACGATAACGTTTATTATTAATTGATATTCTTACTATTGGTTTAATTCAATTGAAACATGAAGAAAGCTAAGTTGATGAGATAAATTTTTGATGCTCAATGAACAGACCTACTTAATATATCTCTATCCCATTTGAATGACTTGTTGTCTATCGATACTAAATAATGTTCTAATGAAAATCTTTAAAACATTTTGATCTCAACTAACAAGGAAAGCTTTTCAGATAACAAAAAGCTTTCGAGTCTATATTTACCTAGTGGTAAACAATATATTGATTAGAACAGCTTCCTAAGGGACCATATGGATGTTAAGATTTGACTGATATCTTGACTCTTTAATGAGTTTTTCTTTGTATCTATTCGCTTTTTCAATCAAGTCCTCTTGTTCAGTTTCGAACTAAAAACTCTGCCTAGATGAAGATCTCAATGACATTAGTTTTGCACGAAAATTCAGAATTTTGTGATTGAGTGCGTATAAGAAATGCAACCTCCAAACTATGCATGTGCTTAAAAAAATCAAGAAAAAAAATGACTTGAGTTCTGAAATGGTGTGGATAAGCTAGTCTTCATGTGAGCAAAGTTTCCAGGTTGAAGTTCGACAATAGGCTTTTATCGAAAAATTGGGTCCACACAAGAAAAATTTTCCTAAAAAGCCAATATATCGGTCGAATCTTAACTTCAGCATGAACTCTCCAGAGTATCCCCTTGTATTAAACAAAACATAGATTTAAAACATTCTAATCACCTGATAGTGTAGATGCGTAGGTACGAGTATACTGGTAAGGGTGTGGGTGTGGATGTGGATGTTGATATATAATCAATTATCCGCCCACACCCACACCCTTCTATCCTGCAGAACAGGTTGAAGCTATAATTTTTGTTTTGTTCTACCACTCAGCAGGACAAAGATGATGGAGCAGCAGAAAAGAGAAAACAAATAGATTAGTTTTAATTACCACATAAGCTTTTCTTTACAACTTTTTTTAATAATTTGTATCGTCGTTTATTATACGCGACAATCACTAAAGATAATAGATGTTCCAATGGTAAAAATAATGTTTGCTAATTTTAACATAAAATGACAACAATATAAAATCATAAACATAAAACAGCACATAATATAAATGAAAACTTGTTCATCACTATATAAAACCTCAGTAAATTCAGTTGAACTCAAAATTTTACTTTGAAAAGAAAAGAAAACATATTTAATCGTAAGAAGTGAACCATCAAAGACTATCATCATTTTGGTGAGATTTTTTTAAATTTTCAGTTAGATTAGATGGATACAGTGAGGACTGTAAAAGCATGTACATTTTTTTACAAATAATCAACAAAAAAAGTTATTTATATTTAGTAATTCTATTACCATGATTATCAATTATTGTTTGCAATCGTTTCTTATATCCATCACTGTGATTTTTTGCAATATTCTTGTAATTAAAGTGCTTTGTTGTTTGAAAAGGATTAATGAATTGGACGAACTGATCTATCTTTTCTACAATTACATTATATTCCAGTTTTCAACAATGAATCTTTTCGATTCCACCAAAGCTTACAAGTTCTTCTATTGAAATTTGCCTTTTTTGATAATTCCGCATATGTAACTTTCCATCCTGAATTTTCAATCTGCACATCTGTTGTAATTATTTTCATTCGTTCATTAGGCTTTAAATTTGTAGATTTCGACATTTTGATGAGTTAAAAATAATATAATGATTGATTATGGCTTTAGAGTTCAGAATCAGAATAAAAAACTTCAAAAATATTGAACAATATAAAAATATAGATGCTTCTTTACGGCTCTCACTATACAATCAATAATAATAAATGTTTGGAAATATTAGCGAATTAAAATGATTATGTCTTCTTCATCATCAACACGTTCCACTCTTTCTCAATATGAATTCAAAAATTCGATAAATTTAAATAAAGAGAATATTAGTAACATGAAGAGTTTATCTTTCTTTATATTCTAATATGTCTTGTTCCATTCTGTCCTATGTGACAGAATAAAACGAAATGGTAAGTGATCTTTCGTTTTATTCTACTGCTTAGCAGGATGAAGTCGATATCAGGACAATACAAGATAGAAAAGGCTGCCTTCTACTCATTTCCGGTCTAGATGTATTTCATCTACATTTTTAATCGACATTTCATTCTTCATGACTAGTGAACTGAATATTTATGGTTTTTACTGTTTCTTCGTGTAGAGGTCACTCTTTTTTTCGCTTGAATTTTGATGTTAAAATGTCAAAAGTAAGGCCAGGTTGTAAGTGTCATTGTAGATGAAGAGAAAACAGGTACCCACCTAGTCCACAACTCTACTATCAAAGACAACAGCAACAATTGTTTTTTTAAAGTGTGTTCTACTACTTACGATTTCACAAAATAGAAAAATAATCTTCTGATGATTGTATGATATTGATCAAAAAATTTTGATTTGTGGGTTCATTGCGAAAGCAAAGTTCTATCAAGATAAACTTTTTGTTTTGATTATATTCAGTAAATATGTTTCTATTAAAATGTCTTATTGATCTATTCAATGTTTGCATTTTGTTTTTCATTAGTTTTGTTTTATTATAGATATTAGCTCAAAGTAAATTTTAAATACAAACCAAGTACTAATAATATTTGAACATTGTTCTTATTTTTGATTAAAATTTTGAGTTTTTTAATCTTTTCTAACAACGTCAAATCGAATTGAATCATTGTCTCTCATATTTCCTTTATGTTACTTGTGTAAGTGTCAATAACACTTTACTATAGATATTTACTATATCTTATTTTTAAGTTTAGTTGAGATCCGCTCAAGAAAGAAATGACATATTTTACACTACAATATTTTATATTCTCTAAGGTTTATAAAATATTTAGCCATATTGATTTTTCTCTGCAAAAAAGCATTCACCTTACTAGGTGAAATGTTCTTACTAAAAATGACTGAATTCAACATGTCTATTTTATGTAAGACGTACATGATTTCGGCTATCACAAAATACATAGGTACACCTTAAGATACTTTTTCAACCACATAAATTTAAAAATCATTAAGGATGTTTTTAATGAAAATTAAAGTAATTATCGAATGAAATTTGAATGATTATTCTCAGAGTAAATCCGATTCTTTTCTTCCTTTATATCAATTTTTAACTTATATTTCTATTGTTTTTTTGTTTTTTATATAGGTATTAATGAAGTAAAAAACTTCATTACAATAATAAAAACATATTCTTGGATAGATATCGAAACCAAAAATAGCTTTAATGAACATCTTATCTTGATACATATAATCATTATTCTTCATTGAATAAGTGTTGATACTGAACAGAATGTTGATATTTTGATAGATTGGTTTTCATTCATACGTGGTTTTTCAAAACGATCATCAGTAATATTTGGTTTTATTTTATGAATAACATGATTGCGTTTATGACTTCGATTATGTAAGCATAATCCTATATAATTTTGCATACTTGCCTCCACATAATGCTTTAATATATTTTTAAAATTTAATAATCGTATCTTGAAGACACTTTTGTTCTAAATAAGATTCTTCAAGTACCTGAACGAATTCAACAATTGTATTTTGTAAAGATTTAATTGTTGAATTCTCACTCATGATCATGTGATATATATAGTTTTAGTTATAAAACTTTATTTTATAATTTATAATATTTCTATTCAAAGATATTATAGAGCATATTTGTGATACATCGTTCAAATCTTATAAAACGACTCAAAAAGCAAAAAAAAAGATAATACCTACTATTTCAAGTGTTATAGTTACCTCGACTTCGACAAGTTAAAAAAACAACCTGTAATTCAAATTGGTAAACTTGTCAATATTATATCTTTACAGGAAATATCAAGTCTTCATATTTGATATTTTCATCTTCTGATGATTCATGAATAATTTTCATTGATGTCAAATCTTATTTGAATATGAACAATCCAGAAAACAAAACGAATTCAGTCAATTATTTGTGAGTTGTCTTACAAATTATGTTTTCATTTCACCTACATCATAATTCAACATTATAGGATTCAACATTCATATACATAAGGCTTTGCTTTAATTTGAAGAATAATATAATTACAGTATCGATAATATACATTAATAGAGACATATCTCTCTAGTATTACTTCCTACTATCAATCTCGTTCTTTTTTTATTATTCTATTTATCTATATGAAACCTGATAGAAATCTTGATAATTTCTGTTTCAGATTTATAAGACATCTTATTAAAACATTTAAGATAGACTAAGATCATATATATATATATATTGACATTCTACATCAATCATGAATCAGTCAAATTCGAATTAAAAAATTATTATAACGAAGATGTAGCAGTTTTTCTTCCTTTTTGAATATTGATTAAACTGTCATTTTCAAATTTTAAAATATTCTCAAGATATATATATATAGACGATCGATCAACTATCTGGTTCAATGTAGGAAATCATATAAGTCTAATATTTCTACTTGTACTTCGAGAGTACATCAGATAGAAATACAATTCGGTTCAAACTACTTCTAATCAATATTCCGGGTATTGTTTTTTTTTCGACTAGCCAATACTAATGTCTTCTATTGTTTGATAATATTTTGAAGATTCAAATTAGATTTAGTGATAGTAAAAAATATAATTTGATTTCATTGACAATCAAAAGGAATAAAACAAAAAATCAAGAAAATATATTCTCTGAGCTTTGAGATATATTGCAAAAAGTACTAGACTTAGATACATCCAAGTACATGGTTGATATATTGTTTATATCTTGAGAATGTTTACAAGATTTTAAGATGATGACT